ATAGAGACAGGGTCTCATTGTTGCTCAGGCTGGCCTCAAACTTCTGAACTCAAGCGATCCTCCCACCTTGGCCTCCCAGAGTGCTAGGATTACAGGCATGAGCCACTGCACCAGGCCTGTTTGACATTATAAGTACTTAATATAAAAATTATATGCCATTTATTCTTCCCTACGCCGCTAGGATGTAAGTACTATTATTATCCTCATTTACAAATGATAAAAATTAAGATTAAAAGTGATTAATTTCTGAGGTCCTGCAGCTTATATTTGTTAAAGCTGGTTCTTTACAGAACATGTTTTTATTCTTAGAGGTCTTAAAAAGGAATAGTGGTGTATACTTAAAAGGATATCAAAAAAAAAAAAACGACAGCTACCATTTGTTGAGAGCCTACTATGGGCCTGGCATTATTCTATGTGCTTTAAACACATTCTCTAAGTTTCATATCAACCCTTCAAGGTAGAAATAAGTGCCCTCTTTTACAGATGATCAAAAAGTAGTTTATGGGACTGACAAAAGGTACATACCTAGTAAGTTGCAAAACTAATGTTAAAACTTAGATCTACTTCACTTGTTCTATTATACCATGCTATTTCCATTTTTTAAAAATCCTAGGTAAAGATGGAGGAATCCAGATGGCTGACTAGATATACCACTTGCTGGATTGTCCTGGAGGGAAGGAAGGGTTTCAGGTAAAGGACAGGGGGGGAAAGCACAGCTCAGGTGTAATTCAGAGGAAGAAGTGCTGGAGCCTGCCAGGGACTTCACGGGGGGAAATTGAGAAGCAGAACAGGAAGAAGAAAAAGAAAAAAAGATATTGGCAAGGATCACACCCAGAGATGCTTGGAGCCCATTGAGGGGGTAGTTGGGAGTTCCATTTCTCCTTCTCACACACTGTCAGTAATTAGCGGGCCACCAAGTTGCTTGGAAGCTTTTCCTGGATAATCCCAACTCTGAATGACGCTGAGATGGCAAAGAAGGTTTATGAATCACATACCTAGTCTCTTCAACAAGCTCTCTCTGAGTCTGAATAATCTAATTTTTGATCCTACTGGGGCACTAGAAAAATATTATCTAGCCATGCCTTTGGCTTTTTCTGCACAACACACTTCTTGACAGTGAATCTACAAATTTTAGAATCTTTTGCAATCTGAATAGGTTAAGAATGTCCCAATCATCAAGTCCTGATTTCTTTTAGTTTAAAAGGTTCTTCCCTCAATTTCTCTCTTTCCTCTCACATTTCTCTATAGGCAGCAAGAAGAAATCAGGCACAGTCAACATTTCATTTAGAAATCTACTCAGCAAAATATCCAAGTTCATCACTTATTATTCTGTTTCCTACATAACTGTAGAACACAATTCTGCTAGACTATCTGCTACTATGTAACAAGTATTTCCTTTCCTCCATTTTTCAGTAACTTGTTTCTCATTTACTTCTGAGTCCTTACCAGAAGCACCTTTAACATTCATATGTTTACCAACATTCTATAATGATTTAGGTATTCTCTAAGATAATACAAGTTTTCTCTATTATTCTCCTAACTTTCTTCTTACCTCTCTCCAGTAGTAACTTTAACATCCATGTTTATACGAACATTCTGTTTATGACACTTTAGGTATTCCTTAAGACAATATAGGTTTTCTCTATCATACCACTTCTTTCTGAGCCCTCACCAGCAGAACCTTTAACATCCATATTTTTGTTCAAGGAATCTAAACATTTTCTATCATGCTCCTCAAAATTCTTCCAGCTTTTACTCAATGCCCAATTTCAAAGCCATTTCTATATTTTTATGTATTTGTTACAGCAGCACCCCACTTCCAGGCACCTAAATCTGTAATAGCTTCCTAGGGCTGCCATTACAAATTACCACAAACTTAGTCACTTATAACAACACAAATGTATTCTCTGACAGGTCTCAAGGTCAAAAGTCCAAAATGATTCTCATGGGCTAAAGTCAAGGTGTTAGCAGGGCTGTTTCCTTCTGGGGGCTCCAGGGGAGAATCCATTTCCTGCTTTTCCCAGCTTCTAGAGGCCACCTGCACTCCTTGGTTCATGGCTTCATCACTCTGATCTCTGCTTCCACCATCACATACACCTTCTCTGACTCTGACCCTGCTGCCTTTCTCTTACAAAAACCATTCTGATTAAACTGGGCCCACTGTACAATCTAGATGACACCCCCAACTCAAGATCCTTAATTTAATCACATCTGCAAAGTCCCCTTGCCACATAAGGGAATATATTCATAGGTCACAATGACTAGAATGTGAATATATTTTGGGGAAATTAATCTGTGTACCATAACCATCTTCATTGTTAACTGAATTATGTTTAAACTGTTAAACCATATTCTTCAATCACATAGTTTTAAACACTGCCCCCACTGATTGTTCATCTTACTAAACTTAACATTTTGTCGTTTCCAGATTTCAAATATTGGTTCTTTTAAAAGTCTCAGGAAGGAAAAATTCAGCAACAGAATAAGATTATATATTGAATTACATAATTCCCAGAACTGTTATTATTTGAATGATACTTTGATTCATTATTATTGTTTGGAGTATGTCCAAAGTATGTAGTAATTTTATTACAGGGGGCAAAAAGCTAAAGTCCTATCACGATATCATAATTATTCTGGAATTGAAAGATATCTAAGGGATCATTTCGATTTCAAGGATGAGAAAAATAAGGCCCAGGAAAGCTAAATGATTAATCCGATGACACAAATTCTAATATAAAGGAGGGAAAGCATAAATTTATTTTAAGAATATCTAATGACTAATTATATGGAAATCTGCTTAAGAGCAAGCATATGGAAAACTACTGCATTTACATAAAAGGAATTTCTTAATCTCAGGTTTAGGTAGATTTTCATTTAGTCATCTGAATTTCCCAAGTATTATGGCAAATGCTAATAAGGTAGTTTTCTATAAAGCTAGAGGAATTTCAGATAAACCTCATCAAATTCATGAGAATAGAGACATATTTCCCAGAAGGCTACACACAATGGTTATCAGGCCAAATAAAAGAGGTTCTACTGTTGTTGATCTACTGACTGGTTTGGAAAATCTGAAAGTCTATAGGCTCTACAAGTAAGATAGTTTCTGGTTTCCTTGGAGATCAGTGCTCTAATGTAACCCTAAGACAGTAGCTTGTCATATGTTGCATGGTATAAAAGTACTTTCATAAAAGTTGGCATCTGCAAATTTTTTAAAAGCACCTAAACCAAATTGTGTTCAATGCCACCTATCCAGTTATTCTTTTCAAAAAAAAAATACCAGAATCATTTGGATATTTTTTAAATGTTAGTTTACTGGATGAATGTTAGGCTTGTTGATTTTGCCAATTGCAAGAATAAGTAACATAGACTTGAAGTGGAAATTAAGATATAGGGACTCTGGAAAGGCTGTAAGAAGTGCTACTGATATGTGAATAGGCATCTCAATAAATAAAAGAAAAATCCTCAAATTATCAGAAATAACCAGACATTTCAATATGAAGGGAGGAAATTATGTTTGCATTGACCTATAGAACTAGAGACTCAATAATAATAGATGCATATGTATGTGTGCATATTTGCATGTGTTACCATAATATTGTCATGTCCATAATGATATTATAATCTTATTAAATTGATAATATTTATAATAGCTGGGAAAACTCCTCATAGCTTTTTCCTCCCCAATACAATCTTATAGGTAAAGAACAGAGCATAAATGTGACGTTTAAGGTTCTTTCCACTCTATAGCCAGAGCAATTTGAGGGTGAGTCAAAACAAAAAATTTATTGTGGCTGTATAAAAAAAGGAAAAAAATATTGCTAATAAAAACAGCTTTATTTTCCCTGGTAACAGAAATAATTTTCCTAATAAAAACAGAAAGTAAAAAGAAGAAAATAAAATTATACAGTTCAGAGATAAGCACTTTAAGCAATTCACTGAACATAATTCCATACCCAAACACACACACACACACACACACACACACACACACGATCTTACATAAATTGAATCACAGTTACATTACTAGTTTGAAATGTTTGTTTTGCTCTTTTTCTTTAAGAAAAAAAAAGGTCAATGATATCTTTTCATGTCAACAAATAGGGATAAATACATAAGCATTTCTACTGAATGCTCCATAATTTATTTAACCGGTCCCCTATTGTAAGATATTAATCTTGTTTATGATCTTTTATGCTACAATAAACATTGATAAACATCCTGTACTAACCAGTTTACCAACTTGTCCAATTCTGTCTTTAAGGTCCATGTCTACAATTAGAAGTGCTGGATAAAAGAGTATGTAGGGAATGTATAATTTAAACTTTCATACACCTAACAGAAAGTTTGCAAACCAATTTCGAAAGCAATTTTCCAGAATGCATTAAGATCCTTAGATGTTTCCCTGGGGCAACGAAGTGGTCTGCTGAGCTGGGGGGTGGAGGGTGAGGGGTGAGGAGTAGGGTGGAGAGGACAGTGCCCTTGCCCCGAGGGAGGGGCTATGGGGTGACAGTGACAAAGGGGTGTGTGGTGGGGTCAGGTCACAATGGGCAGAAGAGGATAAAAGGGGTCCCGCGGGTGGTTTAGGCGGAGGTAGATGCGTAGGTTTCGGTTTCGGAAGAAGAGCAGTGGGATTACGATTGGCAGTCGAGGTTACGGAATCCAAGGGCAGAGGCTGTAGTGAGCTAGTCATCAGGCTAAAGCGGAGGTCCCTCCTGAGTGAGCATCTACACCTGGGCGCCCCGACATCTACCGGTGCCCGGTTCATCTGCGCCTGCTATGGCTCCACGCTCTAGGCAGGGCATGGTCTGGCTCCAGGGCCCCGACTGTCTCTGGCATTGAGCAGTTGATAATCAGCGCCCACCCAGTCCTCCGTCTCTCAAGGACAGAAAAGCTTGCCGAACGCGACTGCTTGCCCACCTGCCAGAGAGGGCAGGGAAACAGGACAACCTGCAAGGTGTGTTAAGGGAGGTGTGGAACTGTCCTGATAGCAGATAGCCATGAACGACCCGGTTATGTTACCGTACTACACCGCCCAAAGCAGCCCTGCGATGGGCATGTTTAACACCCCCATGGGGAAACTGCAGCAACAACTGTACAAAGGGGAGTACGCTATATTCAAGTACGCGCCGATGTTTGAGAGTGACTTCATCCAGATCAGCAAAAGTGGGGAAGTGATTGATGTGCACAAGCGTGCCCAAATGGTGACAGTGGGCATCGTTCGCACCAGCCCCTGCCTCACACTACCTGATGTCATGCTGCTGGCCCAACCAGCTGCTACCAGTGGTGACAACAGTGCCAGATGTGGCCCTGCCACCCAGGAAAGAGGAAGTAAGCCTACACCGATCTTAGAGCTGACCAGGCTGTTTCCCTTGAAGTTTGTAAAGATAACCATTCATAACAGTATAAAACAACAGCTCCGCCTGAAGCTTATCACTGGCCGCTCATTTTACCTGCAGCTGTGTTGCCCTTCGGATACAACAGATCTTTTTGTTCACTGGGAAAACCTTATTTACATCCTGAGACCACCAATGGAGGCTTATAGCAGTACCCAGGCAATGCTAGCTGAGAGCACGTTAGGTTCACATGTGCTTGAGGAAGAGCACCGGAGCCCAGTGGTAAGTCTTTGCAGAGACTAGAAGATGGGGCCAGGATGCTTTGGGGAGAGCAGGTAAAGGTCCTGCAGAGCACCTGCAGGTGCTGAGGCTTACCTGCGAAATGCATTGCATTTGGAAGGGCTCAAGGCAAAAAAATCTTCCATTTGGAAGCTGTGGCACATTGCAGAGGTTCCTAGGGTTTCTCCAAAGTGTTCCCCAAATCTGATTTCAGAGTCCTTAGCTGTCATCAACTCTTAATTTCATATCCAATGTTGTAATGCACCCTGACCATCCAATCTATTCTTGAACACATACTGCTTCAACCTCGGTAGGCTGATACGTTATGGGACAGAATGTCTCCCTGTGACTGCCACTCATATACATTAGTGGCAATGCAGCGCGCTTGTGTACATGTGCAACAATTTCCTCTTGTTGTTTAGCTATAGGAAGAGAAGGGAGACCTTGCTGGTCTCATTTTGTTTACTTCATTTATTTGTTCTCCCCCTAGGCATATGCAATGAAGTTCTGTGACAGGAATGATCAATTCAGCATCAGGAGACTTCGCACGAACACTGAAGTGTTTAGGCCTACCTATTTCCATTATGGAAGGGAGACGTGAATCCAGCATGCCTCCCACGTATACTACATTTATGACTTCATACACTACTACAATCACATAATCTAAAAAGGGGCAGTGGTGGCAGCCGGAATCGTGGTGACAATAAGCACTACTGCAGGTGCCATGGATGTGGCTGCAACCAAGTTCGCAGACTCAGGAGAGAAGGACAGCACTAGCAAGGGCACCCTTCAAAGGCCCTGCATGGCCAAAGTGGGTGCTTCCCGTATATCTTAATATTGTTCTAGTGGGGGCTGTAAGCACATTCTTGCCCTCAAAGGGTACTTGGAGCACATCAGCAAGAGCTGCTGGAATCTCCCGAGAGGGCAGCATGAGTGTGGTGATTGCAGGAGCAGAGGGACTACTAGCAAGGCTATTGCAAAAACAGCTGAAGAGTCAGTATCATGACCTCCTCATCTCAGCATTGCAGAATGAAAGCTACATGAGTGAACAAGATGGGAGCCAGAGGGCCTCCACCCAGCAGGATTGACTCTTTGGTAAATAGCCTCAAAGCCCTGTACTACACATGGTGCAGAGGTGGACATCTCATCTAAGACCATGGAGGAGGGTAGTATCATTCACCATAATGCAATCCATCAACTCAGATTTTCTGCTCTAGTAACATATGCTCTACTAACAGAAAGGGTAGCAATAAAACTAATGGCAATGTATGATCAGGCTCTCAAACATCTTTAACTTTCCCTTAACTTGATATTTGCGATTAAATGAATAGATGACAAAATAAAATGTTGAAGATTACTCTCAAAGATATGATCCTACATTAGAGCCAAAGAGAATTCTTCTAAAACTTCCAAATATATAACCAAGGACAAAAGCAACAGATAGTAAGTAAAAAAATGTAAATGAAGGCAGGAAAGCAGCATGATATTATAGTTTTTAAAAATCCAGGTTTTAATCATAGCATTGCCACATATTAACTGTGACTTTGAGTAGATAACCTGTTTCCCCCTTTAAATGGTCACCTTGAGAATTAGAGACTATATGTGTGAAGTATCTGGCACATAGTAGGTACTGTGTAAATGACAGTGTTCAGAAACAAATTTGAGTTTAATCATACTTTCTAGAAAGGTCTCTTCATTCTTGATTTCCCTTCTAATGCTTTGCCCAATTTAAATCTTAATTAACTGCTTTGAAATTATTCCATAAAAGCTCTATGTACAGTAAATCTTCTTAGTATTTTCCAAGAATTTTAATCCCCTGATGTTATTTAGAATTCTAAATTTTCATGAATTTGAAAGGAATTGCTTCTTATAGAAACTTCAATCTAGTCACAATGGAAGGATAAAATGCCATATAATATATTCATAAGCATAAATTCAAAGTTCCCATCTTTTAGCCTGTTCATTCCAATTTTAGTATTCTTAGAGGCAGAAAAAAAAAAAAACCTAAAACCTGAATATAGGATCAAATCAAAATCTAGATAAAAACTGGAAATTAGATAATTTTAGAATTGTAAGATCCGTAGGATTAGTCAAGTTTCTAATTTTGCAAGTAAAAAATCTGTTTGAGTCCAAAAGTAATATATCATATAGTTTGATAACCCAGAATCATAATGTGTAGGTTACCTGGCCCCTAATTAAGTCTGTATTCTTTCTATAATACTCATGTTTCTGAAGGTTAGCACTGTGTTTTGAATATAAAAAATACTTGACACGCATTTGCTGGATCCAATTAAATTAAGGGTTATAAATCCAGGTACATTAAAATTTGCACAGCACTATGCTAATTGCTCTGATCCCAACGACTCTTGTAAAGACTGTAAGGAAACGGTTTTTTCATTAGACCCTCAAAGTGCTTATGGCTTAGTGATTTTTAATGGCCTCCAAAAATGCTTCAGACATGAAAAATGACTTCAAAAAGTGAAAAACATTTTGTAGCTTGGATATTCTAGCTTTGCAAATTCCAAGGTTATATTACTGAGAAATCACATCTAATCATAAAATAAAATTACTTTGGGGCAAATAATTTCAAACAAAAAACATGTTTTAAAAGACACCCTTCATATTTTTTCAATAACAATTGTTTCAAGTGGTATGTAGTTTCCTTTTAATATATTTCATAAGATGCTGTAGATTCCCTAAGAGGTTTTAAAATGATCATACTGTAAATTCTTTGCAGGTAGGGACCAACTTTATGTTTGTATTCAAGCATGCTTACCACATTGCAGTCCCTTGATAAGCCCAGAATGAGTGATTATTAAAAACATTGCACATTTTGTATTTCTTTTCTAAATCTTCCATATAAATACCATTTATATGACTCAATCTCTTCTTAAATTTTTTATTCCCTTGGTAAATACCGTTTCGGTTTGCTTCTAATTACAAATCCTGATGCATATTACCAACAGATCTCATTACTAGGTCACAGAGTTTTCTTAAAATTCTAACACAGTACATATCCTCTCACTTCATATCTTTTAATCAAACAATTTAAGAGAGAGAGATTAAGAATAAATAGTAGAAAAAGTTTTAAAAATTACTATTTATGAATGGTTGAGAAGGGTTGATTCATATGCCTAGAAAACCTAGTAATAAACTAAAAAATTAGATGAATTCAGAGATGTCACAAATTGTATATATGTACATATTTATGTATTTTCATTGCAAAACATAAAAATCCTTCAATATAGTTTTGTAATATATATGTGTGTGTGTGTGTGTGTTACATATATACATATAGAAGTGCTAAAGGAGAGCTCATAAACAGTAATAGTCGCAGACACAGACACACACACACACACACACACACATATTCTTAGGAATTTATGGTGAGAACATTAGTGAAATAATCCTACTGCTGGTTTGTTAGATTAAATCCAGTAAAAAAGCATACTGCATCTCAAGTAAATTTATAGATTTAATGAATTAAAATCCAATAGTGATACTTTTTGAACTCAACATAGTAATTATAAAATATAGATTTTAAAAAGCAAGGAACCAAGTCAGCTAATAGTTCTAATGTAATAATGAATAATATCAACAGTCATGTGGTTAAAAAAAAAGAAAGCAGAAATAAACAAGGATTCAGAAGTAAATCTAAAACAAACAAGATTAAATATAATGAGAGGAATATGAGTTACTGTTCAATGGAAAGTCATAGGAAAACTAGAGATGAACAAATGAAAAACAGTATTGAGCCATATTTGGAATTTATGTTAAAAGGAATTCGAGATGAGATGAATTAAACAAAAAAATAGGACTGAGGAGTTTAATGAATTTGATAGTTTAAAAAACTACATGACATACTTGCATATTGAGACAAAAAGAAAAGTTAAAGATTGAAAAACACTTTGTGGTAAATGTAACTAGAATATCTGAGGAACTAATAAATTTATTGACACAATTCCAATCTTTAAAGAAAAATAGCCAAAGAAAAAAAAATCTAATATTAAAAAATTATATTGTGAAGGTACATCCTCATTCTTTCAAAAGCACATTTTGGCTTGTGATTATCTTTCAATGTTTTTTTAACAGCAATTTTTGTGAAACCATGAGTAATTTGTGTTATTTTTGAACATGAGTTCCATCGCGGAATCAATGCTGCACACACAGCTTGAAATATCAATGAAGTTTTTGGGAAGGATGTGGCTAATAAACATACAGTACATTATATCCAGAAACCCCAGGATTTGCTGATAAAGTACAGTTTTGAATACTTCCTTAATGATGCATATGTTTATTGCCTTGACTGTGGTGATGGTAGCACAAGTGTATATGTCCAAACTCACCAAATTGTTTACATTAAATATGTTCAGTTTTTTGATTACTAATTATACCTCAATAAAGTTAAAAAATATAAAAGAATAAGAAATAAAAAAATTATAAACCCAAAACAAGTTAATAGCAAGCCTAATAATAAAATTAAATAAAAAAATAAACATTAGTAAGGTGGTAAAAATCAGATATAATCATATTATTGGTGGCTTTTTGATTAGAAGAACAATCTGGCTATTATAGTTAGAGCCCTGATAACTTTATTTTGTTCCAAAAATTCTGCTTTTTAAGATATTACATAAAGTAATGATTTAAAACTGTATTTTTACAAAGACATTAATTTTATGAGAGGAGGAAATAGGTTGAAACCTTCAATTACTGGTAAACTGTTCAGCAGATAAGGTTATATTAATAAAATAAAACTTGAGCTTGTTAATTTCCTTTCCCTTTTACCAATATAGATATGAGATAAAAATCTATTTGTGAAAATGTTAAGTGATGACATGAAACCCTAGAATATGCACATTTGTTCATTGATTCAGTCACGTATTACTTAATTCTAACTATTTTCCAGGAACTAGGCTGGCATTAGACCATACATGTTAAGCATCAAAAGCTTGAACCTCTACCTTTATGGAACTCACAGTCCAGTATATATTATTGACAACAGTTCTGTAAAGGTTAGAATAAACTGTCTTAAAAGTCCTATGAAGAGATTTTTTAAGTACTATACATTGATTTGAATATCCTATTTAGCTTTCCACAATAAATTACTATTGGAATTTGAGTGGTTATGATCAAATTTTGATACAGCCATGTGAAAAACATGATGGTTTCTTATTTGTTGCAAAACAGAAAAAAATATTTTTGAGATATAACATTTCTGGACACTTACTGTGAATCTTTTCCTATTCTAGACTGTTTTTCCACCCATGTTCTATATAGTTAACCTTCTAATAGTATAATCTTTCATATTAAGTTTTTTTTCATCTTGGACAGAGATATTTTCATATGGCTTCATATTTCCTAACTATGGAACATTCTGCTCATTTCTGAAACTCCTCTAAGGGCGTATGGTCCATAACACACAACAGGAATTTAAAGGTGATACTACAGAATTAAAGTTGATTTAACAAATAGTGAAATGATTTTAAACTTATAGTCAATGGTTTAGTGTTCTGGTTTCATTTTTGGATTGTACTCTAAAATCTTCAGTAGTCCACATTCACATTATTCTACAATGTTCCACTGTGCTGAGAAAAAAAAAAT